CCCACCCGTCACCAGCAATGGTGGCCAAACAACCTGTTTCTGCCCCCTCGCTTGCGACACCTTGAGACACAGCAGCCCAATGGCCGACACACGCCTCCTCCCTCCTCCAATCACACCAGCTCCTCTGGTCACGTGACTCCAAATAGCTACCAGAACCATTATAACGGATCCTATCACCAACCGAGCAGCGGTTCCGGCCGCGAGAGTCAACAAAATGGCCGCCATGATGCTGATCCGAGCAGCAGTTCTAATCACGTGACCCAATCCGGAAATCGCAACCGTCATCGTCAGCTACCTCATTCCCACAACAGCAGCAGTAGTAGTAAGTGTGGTGTGTCGGAAGGGGGTGGGGGGTAGGGGAAGTAGTGGGTGGGGAGGAAGAGGGGGGTGAGAGAGGGATTGCGTGAGAGCTGAGGGGAGGGGGGTGTGGGGAGGAAGAGAGGGTGGGACGGGGGGGGTGAGCTGGGGGAAGGGGGAGGTGGGGAGGAAGAGGGGGGGTGAGAGAGGGGTTGGATGAGAGCTGGGGGATGTGGGGAGGAAGAGAGGATGAGAGAGGGGGTAGGTGAGAGTGAGGGGGATGTGGGGTTTGGGTAAGGTAGGAGTGGGGTGGAGGAAGAGGAAGGTGGGAAGGAAGAGGGAGAAGGTGTGAGGTGGGGAGGAAGAAGGGTTGGGGTGTGGTGGAAGAAGATGGAGGTGGAGGAAGGGAAAGGGTGGGAGTAGGGTGGGAAAAGGGAGAGGTGGGGAGGCAGAAGGGTGTGGGGTGGGACTGGGACTGGGATGGGGGAAGGGGTGTGGGTGGAGGTAAGGGAGTATAAGTGGGGTGGAGGAAGAGGGAGGTGGGGTGTAGGTGGGTGGGAGTTAGGGAGAAGAAGAAGGGGTGGGTGTGGGTCGGGAGTTGGGCGGGAGTTGGGGGGAGGAAGGGGTGTGTGGGGTGGGTTTGGAGTGGGGTGGAGGAAGAGGGGAAGAGGAAGGTGGGATGTGGAGGGGTATGCAGGGAGTTAGAAGAGGAAGGGGGAAAAGGAGAGGGGTATGGTAGGTTATAAATAAATAAATAAATAAATAAATAAATAAATAATAAATAAATAAATAACCAAAAGTAAGGCAAACATTGCACAAGAAAAAACACTTTAAAAACCCTCACACACAAAATGCAGTATAGACCAGCTACAAAAGCATCAAACAGCAACACCAATAACAACAACAAGAAAAATACCAGTACCACCACCACCACCAACAACAGCAACAAAGACACCACTAGCAACAGCAGCAACAACAACAATAACAACAACGACAACGACAACGACGACGACAACAGCGATATTACCAACAACAACAACAACAACAACAACAACAACAACAACAACAACAACAACAACA